CTCGTCTCTTGTCTTCTTTTTTTCTCTCTCTCTCCGTTTCTCTCCTCTCGTCTTCCTCTGTCGTGCTGTCGTGCGTCCTCTCTCTTTCTGTCCAGTCGTGCGTCGCGCTCTTCTGTTCCTCTCCTCTCTGTCGTCGTCTCTCTCGTCTCTCTCTCTCTCTGGCGCTTGTCTCTCTTCTTCTGACGCGGTGTTTTGCTTTATCTTGTTTTTTGTATCTCTTTCTGCTATGTTCTTCTCCCTGCTTTCCGTTGTGTTTCCATTTTATTCTCCGCGCTGTTCGTGATCTTCGCCTTTTCCCTTGCTTCGTAGTGTGCTGTGCGGTCGTTCCTGTGCGCGTGCTCTGTAGTATATTTTCGTGAGTTTGATGATAGTAGATGCTGAAGTGTGAAAGAGCGTGAAGGTAAAGCTCAAGTNGAGGTGGGGGTGTAGAGAGGGTTGGGGGTGGGAGAGGGAAAGCGGTGGTGAGGAAGCGGGGGGTGGCGTTAGGAAAAGAGAGAGTAAGGAAGGGATGAAAGAGGGAGAAAGAGAGAGAGGGGGGAATTGGTGGGGAATAAGGCCGAGGATCCGAAAATTGGTGGGGAAGGGGGAGAAGAGAATTGGTGGGGAAGGGAGAGGAAGAGAAAGAGAGTTGGTGGAGAAGGGACAGAAAAAGGGAGAGAGAGAGAGAGGGAATTGGTGGGGAATAACGCTGAGGATCCGAGAATTGGTGGGGAAGGGGGAGGAAGAGAAAGAGAGTTGACGAGGAAGGAACAGAAAAAGAGAGAGAGAGAGAGGGAATTGGTGGAGAATAAGGCCAAGGATCCGAGAGTTGGTGGGGTAGGGACAGAGAGAGAGAGAAAGAGAGAGAGGGGGGAATTGGTGGGGAATAAAGCCGAAGATCCGAGAATTGGCGGAGAAGTTGGAGAAGAGACTTAGTGGGGAAAAGAAAGAAGAAGAGGGAGTAAGAGTAAGAGTGGTTGGCAACATAACAGCAGTATGAAAGACGGAATAATGCCAAACCGCATTGATATCATAACAACATTATTTATACTTATGCTACTAATAATAATAATGATGTTACGACAACAAGAACCAATACTACTACCAGTGACGATAATGATAATAATAACAATGAAGTATTGATAATAATAATGATAATAATGATGATGATAATACTTACCATTACTATATATTATTATTTTTACCATTACTATACTATTACTATTATTATTATCATTGTTATTATCATTATAGCAATAATACTGTATAAATAATAATAACAATGATAATAATAATAATAATAATGATAATAATAATAACAAAAATCATCATCATCATCATCATCATCATCATCATAAATAACAACAAAAATAATAGCAATGGTGTTAATAACAACTTAAAAATTAATAGTGATATTATTAATAATAAAAAAACAAAGCGAAAAAAAGATACATAATCATATATATAAAATCAAGCCACCAAAAACGTAACGACAACCATAAAATAAAAAAATACCAACCAACCAAAAAATAAAAATAAAACAAGCGCATAGAAAACGGGATCCGCCGCCACCTATATAAGCAACTCACGCGTGACGACCAGAGCAGTGTAGACCGGCGCGGCGGAGGCTACGGAGTTCGATGCGTGGCAGAGATAGAGTCCCGTGTCGGCTTTGGAGGCATGTTCCACCAGCAGCTTTGCTTCTCCTATTCCTGAGGCGAGAACGGCACCCGAGCTGTAAGAGAGAGAGGATAAGGATGAGGGAAATGTTATGAAAAGAGAGAGGATAAGGATGAGGGAAATGTGATGAAAAGAGAGAGGATACGGATGAGGGAAATGTTATGAGAGCGATAATAATAATAAATGAGGAGGAAGAGGATGAGGGAAATGTTATTAGAGCGATAATAATAATAAGTGATGATAATGATGGTAATAAGTAATAATAGGGATAACAATAGTAGTAACAATAATAATAGTAATATCAATAATGATAATAAGAATGATAACAATAACAATAATAAATTAATGGTAATGATAATCATAACAATGATGATAATAAAACCAAAAGTAATAATAACAATAATAATGACAACAATTAACACTACTACTAATACTACTGTTACTACTAAAAGAGGTAATGATAATAGTAATAATAATGACTGTAATAATAATAACAATGATAACAAGTCATTATCATCATTCGAAAAAGAGAGCGTAAAAGATTAAAAATAGATGGTCATAGATCATATTTGATATGTATATTTCTTAAACAAAAACAAACAAAAAAAGATACAATTTAATTTAATTTAATCAATTTAATATAATCTAATGTAATTTAAAGATTATTAATTTAATCAACCTCAATGCCTACCCCCC